CGGATAGAAGATGTATTACACCATGAAAATTCAGAAGGCCCGTCCCAAACGCCGCCGGCAGGCCAAGCTGGGCCCGCTCCCTGCCGAACCGAGTTGCCGGTGGAGCGAAGCGGAGCTGGCAACTTGGTTTGGCGGAAGAGCGGGCCCAGCTTGTTTTTTTTACAGTGTAACTTGTCTATCGCCCCTAACTCTAATTCCCTTTAGCCCTTTTACGTGTGCCCTGCACAGTGCCATCCGCTACTGCACTGACTTGGTACGGGCGCTTGCTTCACCAACAGAACCCTTCTTGCAACGAATTATTTTGATTTTTTACTCACTCACATTTTTTTCGACGTTTTCGACGTTCTCTCCCTTCGAGTCAATCTTGGTTTCTTGTTTGGGGGCCCCATCTCAACAACGCTACTAGTGCAACTGTGGATCGCCGAGTGATGAGTGATGTTCGGGATGTTTGTGTATGTCTCAGTGTCAGTCCCCTTCCCTTCTCCCCTCTCCCCTCTCTCGCCCGGCGGGCGGCGGCTGGACCGAGCAGTCCGGCACGGACCCAACGGACTCGCACGGACTCGACGGACAGCAAGTGTTCGCCGGGCCCGCCGGTTCGGGAGCAGCTTGCCCGCACGGCTGCGGCAAAGTCGTCGGTGGAGGGGGGCCAGTAGGCAGCGCTCCGTCTCACCGCTACCGACCCCACCTCACTCCACTCTCTCGACGGACTCCACTACCCGCCCGTCGCGCAGCTCTAGCAGCTCTGGTTGGGCCAGGAGAGACAAGTAAACTAGAAGGAGTACAGAAGGACAGGCTTAAGGAGTTAATAGACATTCTCACGCCATTCCAAGTGGAGTCTGTGAAACTTCAAGCAGACAAAGTGCCAACTCTGCAGCACGTCCTTCTGTCTCGAGCCACCCTTGTTGACCACTGCAAAATAGCCACAGCCGACGATGACCCCCTAACTGCTGTTCTGAAGGAGAGAATTCTTAATCAAATGGACCCGGTTTACACTATAGATATGCGCCACAAAATGGCAAACTTTTTGTGGCCCTCCTCCAGAAAACTGAAAATGTTGTATGAGGACGAAAGAAACCAGGTTCTTTAATTTTCGTTTACTCTTCAGATCCACCCTCCTACCTACTGCCACTTTCCTGCCACCTGCCACCCGTACCACTTTCTCCACTGCTCTGAACTTTCCTCTCCCCTACTTAACTGAGTGCACCCATACATAAAGACCCTTACTGACTTGTCATAAGTAGTTCTCACATAAATTTACTTTTGGAATTTAGCTTGTAGTGTTTCCTTCCTCTACGTACCGTAGCTGTTGGTTTAATCTCGGTCCCCTCCGTAAACATTTCTTTAGAATTGGGATATTTAGTTAGTTAACTTAGTCATTTAAATTGTAACTTGTATTGTCCATGTGACGTTCAAACTGTAAAATAATTTATTTTAATATAGTTTGGGTATTTTAGGTTCATAGTGAGATCAGAAACTTGTGTGCCACCATTGACGATCCAGGTACTCCCGCAAAACGGCGAAGGGTAGAAACCACCCCCGCCGGGCTCGGGTATGATAAGTACCTGGAAGTATCAGATGTGGACGACGTAGCTGATGAACTAGAGAGGTATCTGCATGAGCCGATTTAGGATGACTCCAACATTATTGGCTGGTGGCGAGAACGAGTGAGTAGATTTTTATAACAACAAAACACAGCATTTAAGCAGCCGCATAATGGACTATAAATAAAATTTCCATGTTTCATGATGTCTTAACCCGCATGGAAAGGCGAGGCTAAACCGCGTCTAAAAACTGTCCGAGCTTCCTAGACATTGCTTGCACGCCTGAGTAGACGCGATTCAGCCAATTTTCAGACGACTTTTCTGTCTGAAACTTACCCGACTTTTGAACTAGCCGGCGCTGCAGACTGCAGCGCCCATGCGCTGTGGTCGAGCTTCGGGAGGACATATGGCTTGGCTGAGCACACAGCCACCTCCAGGCTGTGAGCGAGCTGAGGGACAGCTGCCCGCTGTCAGAAAGCCTCATGGGAAGGAAAATGAAACTGGCAGCGACCGCAACTGGCCGGGCGGTGAGTGGGATCGAACCAACAGACTCCGAGTCACGAGTCGTTCGGCGAGCACGCTTGGCCAGAGCGCGCTCGCTCCCGGGGAGAAGCGAACAGCGAGCACGTTCCTCCTCAGCGCGTCGCGGGAGTATATCAACTTTGTGCTTTTGGTGAATGATCAACACGCCAGCATAAGTCAGCAGACGCCAGAGCAGACTATTGCATTCTAGCTTTCACACAATGATGGCGTCTGCTGACTTATGCTCTGTGTGTCTGTCTGTACCAAGAGAAGGAGATGTGCTAGAGACTTGAAATTTTCAGGGTATCTTAAGGTCCACTCCTAGAGAACGAAATGCCTACGGCAAATCCTGGCAACCACCCCTAAGGGTGTGAGTGGGGGTATCCAAGGTTCAAAATTTCGTCCGTTTCGCTCTATCTCTAACCGTTTAGGCACTAGAGGGTCTTTTTTGACGAAAATAAGGTAAAAATTGCCATAGTGAACAATAAGTTGTAGAAAAAGGCCTAAAAACCGCAAAATAGAAAGAAATCTCTCCCACCACCCCCAAAAATGTTTTTCTAAGCAGAAGGGTGGGTTGTAGTCGCGGTGCTTCACCGTTACATCCCTTTCTCGAGTCTTTGGGGCAAACTCAAAGACGACAGGTTTAGGCGGGCCGAAGGCCCGCTACATCATTCGACCATGTTCTTCAGCAAATGGCGTGACAGAAATGCCCGACCATCGCCGCCGGCAGGCCAAGCAGGCCCGGCCCCTGCCGAACGGAGTTGCCGGCGGAGCGAAGCGGAGCTGGCAACTTCGTTTGGCGGAAGGGCGGGCCTGCTTGTTTAAAAAGCATTAAGGTAGGACCCCAGTGAAAAAATGGCCAAAAATGGGAAAAAAATCAAATTTTATTTTTTGTGTCGAAAGTGTACTTTGAACCTTCCTCTACAAGGGGATTTTTTGTTTTCGTTTGTATCATAAGTATTTTCGGAGTTATAGACGTTTTTCGAAATTCTTGGATACCCCAAAAAACGCAAAACGCAATTTTTCGCCCCAAAAAATTCCAAAAAATTATTTTTAGTTTGAAATATTTTTTAAAAAACTTTTTTCTAAGAGGACTTTTTTTTTAGACGAAATCGTAATGGATTTTGGTTTTACTGCTATTCAAACCAAACCAGCAAACGATAACGATATTACAATGCGACTCTTGGTTTTGCTGTACATTTGAATTTCGCGCGTCGGATAGCGGCTGCGGCCTGCCTCGACGGCTGGCGGAGCCGCCGACACCAGCCGCCAGGCGCTGTCAAGTGGAGCCCTCTATCGGGAGTTCCTAGAACCCGCTCGCCAGTCGCGACGCGAGCGAAGGAGGAAAGAAAACAAACGATACCGTTTTGGTTAGGTTTTCGTGTTTATCGTACATTTTTCAAAGCGCGATGCACACGTTGTCAAAGCGGTGGAGGGTACCTACAGGTAGATTGTCAAAATCTAAAAAAAGGGCACAACAAGCCAGCACTGCGGCTGCCGCTGCCCGTACTGAACAGCAAGAGAAGGAAAGAAGTCTGTCACCTGCACCGGTCCCACCTGCCGCCTAACCTCCAAATGTCTGAAGTAAAAAGAAAATTCAGTATTATTGATATGTTTTGTCACGTTGAAACAGCGGTTTCTCTTGAAAAGCAGTTGCATTTCGTTTATTTTTAACCTGTTTTGTACTGGTTCTGTTTCAGCACCCACCTCTACCACAGCTAAAAAGTTTTCCTTTATTCAGAGGGCATTGAGTTTTACTGAAAGTTTTGACAGTGGTTCGATCACGAATGAAGAATTGAATAATGATGAACAAGACAGTAATAGCAAAGAAGATGGTGCCAATGACATGGAGAGAACACTAAGTATTGAGAGTGACATTTGTGATTCTGGTGAATACACTAGAATACACAAAACTTTCTGGTCAAGTTTTGTTAAAAATATGATCTGTAAGCACTGCAAAGCCAATCAAATGTCTATCAAAGTGACAGAGGAGCATGGTTTTGTGAAGAAGCTACAAGTTACGTGCAAGGGATGTCAAGAAATTTTATCTAATCTTTATACTAGTCCACGCACGGTTGATAGTGCATCATCCAGACCTCCATTTGCCTTAAACAGGAAAATGTGTGAGGTGTTTATAAACACTGGAACAGGTA